TGATGAGCCTTCCCTTGCCTCAGGTGGTGCCTGGGAGACGTCCTGGGCTCCCCACTTCAGGCCAGGGCTGACATCCCTCAGTATGGTGCTGGCCTCACTTGGCACCTCCTCCTCCTCGATATCCCAGGTACTGCCCTCCAGGTGGGCCATGATGGGTGTTCTGACTCCCGAGTCCACGACATGGGGTGAGGAGGGACTGCCCCACCCAAGGATGTGATCGAGCTGCTTGTAATAGGGACAGGTTTGGGGTGCTGCTCCGGAGCAGGAACTGCCCTCCTTAATCATAGAACACTAGAACTGGAAAGGACCTTGAGAAGTCATCAAGTCCAGTCCCCTGCCCTCATAGCAGGAGCAAGCACCATCTGTATCATACCCCTGAGAGATGTCTGTCTAACCTGCTCTTAAATAATCTTAAATAATCTCCAGCGATGGAGATTCCACAACCTCCCTAGGCAATTTATTTATTCTAATGTTTAACCAGCCTGAGGCTATGTCTATACTACAGGGTTTTTGTGGAAAAACAGCTCCCGCTCGGGGAAAAAGCCCTCTTGCGCAAGAATACTTGTGCAAGAGGGCCAGTGTACACAGGGAAGAACTGTTTTGCGCAAAAAAGCCCTGATGGCTAAAATGGCAACCGGGGCTTTTTTGCGCAAAATCGCATCTAGACTGGCCACGGATGCTTTTGCGCAAAAGCACTTTTTGCACAAAAGCATCTATGCCAATCTAGACGCGCTTTTCTACCCCTAATGTAGACAATCCCTGACAGCTGTTTGTCTAATCTCCTCTTAAAAATCTCCACCGATGAAGATTTCACCATTGCACAAATGTGGGGGAAATCTCGTTCCCCTGGGGTACAGAGTCCCCAGAAAGGTCCAAGGCTGGAGGTCAAAGCAGTGAGGCAGGAGAGAAATCTAGAAGGAAAACTTTGTTATGCATGCATGCAGGCTGACAGCTACCCAAGAGAGACAGTTTCAGGGATTCTTTATACAGTATGTTCAGACAGTTTAGTTGTTGATTGTTTTCTTTAACATATCAAAGTCTCAGCAGAAGTACTCTGAGAGGTTTCTGTTCACACCAGGGCTACATCTACACTGGCCCCTTCTCCGGAAGAGGAATGCTAATTTAGAACTTTGGAATAGGGAAATCCGCGGGGGATTTAAATATCCCCCGCGGGATTTAAATAAACATGGCCGCCGCTTTTTTTCCGGCTTGGGGAAAAGCCGGAAAAAAGCATCTAGACTGGCACGATCCTCCAGAATAAAGCCCTTTTCCGGAGGATCTCTTGCAAGTAGGAATAAGAGATCCTCCGGAAAAGGGCTTTATTCCGGAGGATCGTG